CCTCCCCGATCGGCCACGGCCACGACCGAAAGTTCTCAGCCAGAGCGGCCGTGGCCGGGGGGGGACCGTCCACGGCCGGCGGCCGCGGCTACGACCGAACTCGCCCGCGGCCAGGGGGCAACATAGCCGTAAGGCGAACAACTAGGGCGAATCCAACCCTTGTCAAGGAGGTCGTCGAGTTGTGCGCGAAGCACCTCGAGTTCCTCTTCGCTCATGCGGTAAATGCATCCACGCGGAGGGAGCTGGTCCGTACGGCGAGGGGAGAGCATGCAAGAATACAAGGCCCATCTCCACGACGTTATTCCGAGTTATGGCATCGCGGATTATCGCAACGGAAACCACGTGACAAGCAATCGAAGTGTGAGGGGTCGCGACCGTACATGAGACTAACACTCCGTTCCGGTCACGGATGTGAACGGTTCGGTCATGAAAGTTCACTGGATGATCGGCGCTACGCAACCAAGACATGCCTAGAATCATGTCAAACTTGGTGTCGAGGATGTCAAAAGACACCGGCTCGCACGCAAGTGGCGCAAAGTAGACCGGAACGTCGTCAACGCATCGGTCAATTGACTTTTGCGTGCGACCGTCTGCGAGTGTAACTTTAGTGGGTTGCATCTTCCTTCGAACGCGAGGGCCAAGGCCTGCGCGGGCCATAAAGGCTTGGCTCATAAAGTTGCGAGACACTCCGCAATCAATCAAGGCACCACAGGTTGCCTTTGGATTTGGATGTGGATGTAGAGCAAAGGAGCGTCGGTTTCGGCGTACCTTTGAGAGGCATACTCGCGGTCAATCTTCACAAGATAGGAGTGGAGATCGACAACCGCTACTCCGTCGTCCGTCAACGGAGCTGGTACTGTAGCGTGCAAATAGGAGCATAGATTTGTCATCAAGGCGTTGCAATGCGGCCTTAGCAAGGTTCCGGTTGAGGGTAGAGGCATCCAAGCAAAACCTCTCTCGTGAGCGGTTCAAGCTCCTCAAGTCTTGACCACGCCGTCGAGTCCTCGGAAATCAGTGGCGAGCTGATCGGGTCACTTGCCGACGGTGTACAAGTTGCGCATACACTATCTAAGTGCACGTGGCTAGGATGGTCTAATGGTGGTACCAGCTGGGCGGTATAATCCTCGTGCATAGCACGAGAATCAGCGACTAACGCATGCTGCGTGGTAGTGACATTGGTTGCTAGCAAGGCCACCGGTTCCAGCGGAGTAAGGAGAGGCGTCGCCCCTCTCCTTGCGTAACTCAGTTTCTCGAGTTCGCTGGACGGGGTACGCGTGCCTTGCCCTTTTCGGGGCATTGTGCAGTCAAGTGAGTGACACCATTGCACCAAAAATATCCGTACCATTGACGAAGGTCAAATACTTCCTTGGTTATATCGTATGTTGTCCATGGTTGCTGCCCAGTTCCCGTCGATGTCGTCGCTTGTGTCGCCTTGTTCTTCCGAACTCTCTTGGGACGCTTCGGCGGGAGCGCTGCGACAGTTCCTCCATCACTCGAGGATGCTGCTGCAGCGTGGAGATCGACCGATTCATCAGGAATCATGACATTGTTATGTGTCGGTCGTTGATAGCCCTTCTTAGCCACATAGTGCGGTTGGGACTGCTTCTCGTTAGCGGCCTTATCGTCCGTTTGGATGACCAGGTTCGCACGATCCAGGATACCCTGGAATGAGGCATAATCGTACTTGTTGTCGAGTGACATTCGCAGTCCTGCGCACGATCGCGAGAAGAACTCGGATTGTTGGTTTGGGAAACTCAAATCGAAGTCGGGCGTGGTCACTATCTTCTGCCACTTGATCGTCCAGTCTCGAGTTGGCATGCTCCATTGTGAGCAAGTGTAGACCTCGTTCATGGCTGCCTTCAGAACATTTAGGACCATAAAACGGGTGTTCCACAACTGCTCAAAATCCTCCCACGTGAGGTGTTTGGGTAGCTCGGCGATAGTGGTTTCCTTGTTAACTCTAAGGTGGTTCATCCACGCCTGTGCACCTCCAATGAGTTGGAGGTATAACGCCTTCATCATGTCCTCGGTTGGGACCTTGTGGCAGGACGCTTCGGTGAGGAAGGCTTGCCACCACGTCAAAGCGTCAGTCTTGTTATAGTCATCAAACTTGCTGATGTTGAAGCGTGGCATCTTGTATACCTTCGCAGTTGCTGTCGGTTGCGGCTGCAGTTTGGTGATGTCCGTCTTGATGGCGGCCACCGTGCTGCTGATCCTGGCCGGACTGGTGAAGTCACCTAGTTCGCCGATTAGATTGACGACATTGTCGATGCACTCGCCGAGCTGCTTCGCCGTGTCTGTCGTGCAGTCTGGCGCTGCTTGGGAAGGCCTTGCCTCCATAGCAACAATGTAGTTGTCCATCTGTTTCAGCTGGGAGTCCGCGATCTTGATGGCTGCTGCAAGCGTCTTCACGTTATGGCTAAGATCGTGCTGCAGCTGCCAAGTAGACCTGGAATGAAGGTCACCCATGGTGCTGTTCCAGATAACGGCGCGCATTTCGTTTAGTAGAATGTCTGTCAGGTTTTGTCTCTCCTGCTGTACTGCCGTTGGCTCGGCGCCTGCTACCGGGACACAACGCATCCCGTTGAGCACAGCTGCCCACTGATCTTGTTGAGAGATTAGAAGTTTGGCACTGTCGGCGTTGAGCTTGTCGGTCACCAACTGCTCCGCCTCAGCTTGTCGCTGGGCTTGGGCTGCAGCTTCTGCTGCCAGCCGCTGTTTTTCTGCTTTGGCAACATCTTGTCGTTCCTTGGCAAGGGTTAGTGAGTACGTATAAGTCTTCACTCTCTGAATGTAGTCCGTGATGGACTCATTCGGCCCTTGAGGAGGACAGATCAGCAAGGGTTCGACATTACTACTAGATGTCGAAGCCTCAAACGACGTTCCGCTGTTAGGCGTGATCGCCATCTGTGTGCTGGTCTGTAGCTGCTGTCGATCTGCAGGTTGCTGTTGCTATTGGCGATCTGCGATCCTCTTGCTGCGTCGTGGTTGCTGTTCAGTGGCTTGCCTTGTTGGCATCAGAAAACTGCTGCTAAAGGCTGGCCGGTCCGGATGGTCACAGAACAGTAAGAGGGAGAGGGTGGGCACAGGGGTAGAACAGATCAAGCAAGTCGCATACAGTCCATGTCCCAATTATGGACTTAGACACCTAATCAAAAAGAAAAAGATAAACTTTCCCCAAAGCAACTTAAAAAATCATAATTATAAGAAAGAATAACGAATTAATAATCAATAAAATTTAATTAATGATTAATAACGAATTAATACTTCCTTAATAATAATCAAGAAAACAATCATTGTCATAATGATAATTAACGAATTCTAAATTGTGAAAAGATTAGGTATCCGTTGAGATCACCTATGGTCCGGGAGTTCACCGTTTGATTAGTGAACTACCCGAAAGTTGCAATTCTGAGGGAACGAATCTGAACAGTTTGCCAAAAAAAAAAAAAAAAAAAAAAATAATCGGATAATCAGGAAGAAAAACACTCGAATTTTCGTAAAATTTAGGGAATTTCAACCTACAAAATCCGATTTTTAAAGGTCTGAATCCGTATTCGAAATTTCTCAAATTAGGGAAAGGAAAAAAAAAATTCGCGCAAATTTCAGATTCCAACCCTAATTTTTTGCGATTCCGCGGAATTTTCGGTTTTACGGTTCCAAAACAATTGAATTTCCGAATTTGAACGAAAAACCGAAATTTATCGTAACCCTTATTTCCAATACCGAAATAAAACGGAATACTGATTTACAAAAACGAAATACCTGATTAAAAACAGAATGCCGAATTAAGAACGGAATACCGAATTTTGAAATCAAAATCCCGAATGAAAACAGAATACTGATTTAAACATCATAATAAATTAGAATCAGAAAACCGAATTAAAACAGAATATTGGATTAAATAGAATACCAACTAATCGGAATACCGAATTAAACAGAATACCGATTTAAAACAGAATCTCGAATTGAAAGTCAGAATACCAAATCGAAACAGAATGCCGAATTAAACAGAATACCGAAAAAAAAAAAAAAAAATTGCAACTTGAATCTCGATAATAATGCAGAGATCGAAGAAGCAATCTATTCCTAAATCAGACTTGCCTTGTGAGCAGATCCATTATTTGGTCTGCTCCGATACCAAAACTGTTGCGTACTCGTAAATACTTCAACAAGTATGAGCAGAACCAAGAGATCAACCAATATAAGATGAGCATGTATGCAGCGGAAGTCTGATAAATGGACTGACTCATATAGACTCTCACAAAGATATCACTCAACACACAACAATCGTGAGATGGTGGGGTCTGAGCCAATCATAGACGATGCTCAGGCCCCGTCCAACCATACACAAACGAAAGGTGGGAGGAGAGATGAAGGAGGTGGGAGATGTAGGCAGCGCCAGATGTCACCGAGATAGAATCTTGTAGGTCACCTATATGGTAGTCCAAAATGTCATCGAACAAGATCAAAATGTCGTGGACAATAAGTCACCAATGTCGGAGGTACAGAGTCCTAATGTAAACGGTGTCCGATCTGTGATGCCGCCGAGTATCAACCCCAACAATCTCCAAGTCTCGAATCCGGTCATTATTATACACTCTTACCACCGAAGTCCAACACTGATCTCTTTCCAACTAGTATCAAGTCTCCAATCTGAAGAAGAAGACGAAGTCTGAAGAAGAAGAAGAGGAAGTTTGAAGAAGAAGAAGAAGAAGAAGAAGAAGAAGAAGAAGAAGAAGAAGAAGAAGAAGAGAACAGAGGAGGAGAGAGGTGAGGAGGACGGGAGCTAGGGACCGTGGAGGAAGGAGAAGACCTCACCCCCGAGGACCTGGCCTGCTGCAACTGACTGAAGCCGAGGTCGGTTATGGCTGCCCGCTGCCTGGCTCTTCGCTCGCTGTTGCTGCTGCACTAGCTGCGCTGCTGCTGCTCCTCCACGCTGCACTAAGAATAGCGTTGGCGCTAAGAATAGCGCTAGCGCTAACGCTCCTCTGCTGAACCGAAACGACTGGCGCTCTAGTAGCATCCCAGTGCTCGATGCCCCAGAATAAGGCTGAACCGGTATTAAGTACCGGTGGGGCAGAGGCCGGCCTCAATGCTGCAAGGCCTGGCCGTGACCTTAACCGTCGAGATCGTCGATTAAGATCAGATCGGCGGGCGGCAATGTCAAAAGCGCCGCCAGGCCCAAAACGAGAATATCGTTTGGGCCTGCCCATCGGTCTGGTACAAAATGTGGCCTTTCTGCCTGGTGTACCCCAAGTCTGGGCCTTTAGGCCCAACCGTTGTCAGGCGGCCACAAGTAGTGCGCTGCCTAAAAACGGCAGTTTAGGGGTTTAGGCTCAGGGTTAAGTCCGCGTTTTGACAGTGCTTTGGGATGACCGGGCTGCAGGAATTATGA